TATACAGCTATCCTTGTCCAACACCATTGCAGGTAATCACACCATCATATTCCATCCCACAGCACGTGCCCCATCAGCATTTTGGCCCCATGCAGCTGAAAAACAAGCAGTCTTCCCATTTTACAGAGGCAGATGGAGCTTGCTGAGCTTAAAGCCTGTCTGATACCACTGGCCTTTCTTGCCCTTGTCTTAAAAGTGACTATAGCCTTTCCTAACCCTATGAAATACCCTTTTTGGGTGGAGACAATGGCACACACTGAACTTTCCTCCCCACTCCCAATTCCAGAGAAATAGTTCAGCAATTTTCATCCCTGCAGAGAGCAGAACCTTCTTGCAGGTGCACCAGGCTTAATCCCATTACCTCTCAACAGAACCACTGAAACAGCAGCTCAGCAGTATCTCCTACAAGACAAACACCACCTGTATAGGGAGCAAAATCCTGCCTTACCATGAGTCAAGCTGTCAGCCCGGGTATGCAGCCATGCGAGTGGTGATGAAGACCACCTGCTCCAGCCTTTCAGCTGCTTTGTTTACTCACTTTATTGTGGGGAAAAAAGAAAAAAAAAAATAGAATCAAGGAAGTAATGTTCCTCTCCCAAGGTGCACTGCAAAACATTCTTGGTAGACATGGAAACCCCGAGGCAGGCTGCCAGCCCTGGCAGGTCTCCATATCCGTGTTTCAACGAGCAACTAGACGCTCAAAGGGCTTTTAGGGAATTTAAAGAGAAAAGGCATCCACAGTATGTGATGCAGCTCCAGCTCTCTATATACAGATCTTTAGGAGGGTGGTTCTGGAAAGGGCACAGCTGCAATGGGTATATAATTCTTTCTCTTCTGCACTGCGGGGAAACATGGCATGCATCTATGGTAAACATACCTTACTCATCTAGGGAAAGAGTGAGAAGAGCTGTAAACGTCTGGAATTCAGTGCTTGAGGGCATGGAGGCTGATAGGGCTGATAGAGTGAGGATCTCAGGCTTGGGCAGGAAAGCAGACCTTTCATCCTCCCTAAAATCCCACTTATTCAGAAAGGCATGACAGATTGAGCAAGGTCATTTTTCCCCCAGACACTGTAAACCTGCAAGGTGCTCATTGCTGGGGATTCCAGCGTGCTCAGGGAAGAGGAAAGCGTGGTCACCTCGTGGAGCTGATGACGCAGCAGGGCTGTGACTTGCACAAAACTATCACCCAGATTTCTGCTAACACCGCCCAAGAACAACCTCATGACACAGAAACGTACACAAACCAGCTGCACAACGTCGCTGCCCGAGACAGTCTCACAAAATGCACTTGCATTAGGGATCTCGGTGAAAAAATCTCAGGTATTTTGCCAGAGATGGGTATCAGCAAAGCCCAAATGCAGCCAGCCAGCTCACTTCCCTGATCTTGTGCTCTCCTTGCATTTCCAGACCCATCATACCAAGAGACTCTTCATCTCTCTGCCTGCCAGTGGAGAACAAGGCTGCCTTGAGGTAGGCAATGAGACAGAGCAGGCAGGAGACACATGTCCATCCTCTTTTGGGTGGTTTGATCCTTTTTTTTCCCCCCCCCCCCCCCTTATTTCCAGCAACTCTGAATATATTCAAGCACTTCAGAAATGCAACATTCTCCAAAACAGCATTATCGCCTTCTGCAACAGCACTCCAGCAGCAGGCAAGATGACAAACATAGCAAGCTTAACATTTCATTTATATCCCAAGAGACTCCCAAAGATGCAAGCTAAAAATAAGAAGCTGGCAACAAGCTTAGCAGCATCTGTGTTTTCACCGAGGTTCTGGTGGTCATCTGTCAGTCTGGGAATACCTGAGAGTTTTTGCAGTCTGCTCTGTGATAAACCTCACCCAGCAATGTCTCGCTGCTGGTGGGACAGTATGCAGGGAACAGTCATTTAGTTCCTTTGTCTCTGCAAAGCCCAGTTCTTCCGGTTGCAAAATTCACAAGTTTTGCAATGCTTTGGTTTTCTTCGCACCCCCCCTCACCCCACTTCTCTTGTTTCCCCCCACACTTCTACAAAATACCCAGCTCAAAAAGCCAGGTTGCCAAATTAGAAGTAGCCAGGGTTTTATAAGGAGTTGGCTTGTCCTATTTCTGAAGCAAAACTTCAAAAATTAAAAACTCAAATAAGAGAAGACTAGTATGAAATGTCATCATTTAAAAATGAAAAAAAAAATAGATTCAATAGATTCTGTCCTATTCCAGGTGTTTTCAAGGCAAGAAGCTGAAACAAAGTTAGTAAGTAGTGCTCTAGGGTCCAGAGGCTTGAAAAAATACACATTTTTTTCCTCCTAAAAGCTAAAGCTAGTCTGTTTCAGTGACTCATATTTCAAATAAGTAGTCTGGAGCTTGGAAAGAAAATACCACTGCATGATTATTTGCGCTATTTTTGCTTCGCTGTTGGCAGATGTTTTGTGGCAGCATTTCCATGCCATGGCAGGTCTGGTTCATCAGAACCCAGAAGGGAGACATCTCCCCTCCAGCTACTGGGAAGTTGCAGCCTAACTTCCTCAAATGTATTAAAGGAAAAGAAAAAACAAACAAACACACAACACATAAGGAAAAGAGAGAGCAGAGTTGAATGCCCAACACACTGGTGACACATGAAGAACAAGCTCCACTTTGGAAATACCACCCCAGAGGTTTAGGTAGGACATGCTGCGCTGGATGGGCTTGCTTGGCACAGAGGGACATTTGCGTGGACTCCTTAGCTTAGACAATTTATTCTAAAATAAAGCAATCCTACAAGCAGGAGAACTAGCAGAGCTCGATTTCTCATAGATTTATGCTGTGTGGTTGGATTCTCTAATGCCTAGCAGGGTGCAGGCACAAAACAGCACTTCCCATCTCTTAGCTCTAATTACGCAGGTTCTCTGGTGTCTAATATGAATTGCTCTTGTACATCTTGCTGCTTTCTCATGCAGGGACAACCAATTTAACCTTTTACCCAACAGCATAATTCCTAAATGAAAAATATAGAAATTTGGTATCTTGGAGACACCTTTCTCTCTTGGACAACTTCTGCTGAACTAAGCCAACAATTTACAAGTGTAGGGAAAGGAGGTGGAAAAAGGGAAGAAACTATGAAGCCTAGAAGCCCCATTTACTTACAAAATCATGCTGAAAAGCATTAAGACTACCTCAGGTCTTCTCTGCTAGATCCCGGGATCTCCAGATACCCCAACTGGATCTTAACAAGGCACCATAAGTCCAGAATCCTCAATTCCTATGGCAGATGCATGACTTTCCTGCCACTACACAGGCATCATCTGTCACGTTGCTTGAAGGGAGGTCTTAAAACACAACATCCAATTCTGAGAGTGATTTTCTGAGCGCACACGTTTTCTCCATCTATCAGACGCAACACAGAGCGGCACAGCTGCCTCTTGTCCTGTGTGAGCTGGCATCGTGCCACCTCCCTCTGATCCTCGTGATCTAATCAGCCATACGGAGCTTCAGTCTGCCCTGCCTATTTGAACTCATAAAACATTAATTTGCTATGGCGCTATTTTTCCTTAAATTATATCTAGTCATTGTAAAGTACTAGAACACATTGGCAGGAGCGACTTGGAAAAGCTCAGCTTTCTCCCTCATCTTGTTCTTTGTTCACTTACTCCAAATCAGAGGCTTCTCAGGTAAAGAATGAAAAAAAAAAGCCATTTTTTAGCATGAAAAATGAAAAGATAGAGTTATCATGTTTTGTAATAATTGAGATAAGCCATGCCTTTTGCAAGACATGATATTTAGAAAGCAAATAATCTTAGAATCTTTGATTCCTTTCTTTTATGTTCTTGGTAACAAGGCAGACAAGATGTTAAAGCTTTGTGTTTTCCATGACCAGAAAGGCTGGAGAGTATTGGGAACAAATATCCTAATACTTTTTTTTTTAAAGAAAAAAAAAAAAAAAAACACAACAGAAAACAAAAACAAAACAAACAAAAAAAAACACTTAAGTTTGCAGTTTTGACTTATCCATGCTGCAGGTAGTCCAGAAAACCTGTGATAGTAAAGCACATCAAAGTACATCCAAACTGAATGCTTCTGTTTTGTAGTAGGATGTCCCATATCGGGAAAAGCTTCTCAGCCCCAGGATGATTTTATTTTTTATTATTATTGGAGACAAAAAGAAACAGCTGACAAGCTCATAGTCATATTCCTTGCGAATTCATCTGGGCTTGGTCTTCTGTATCCTAAGATTATTAACATGTATATTTTTTCTAAATTAAGCAGAGCAGGCCTCCTCCTAACCATGTAGTGGAAGTCTTCATTTTATTTTTAGATGGAGAGCATTCCAGCTGGAGGTCTCACGATCCCTCACACGCATTTCTTGGGCTTGCTTTCTCTAACCATGGGCCATGGAGCATCTTGGAGCAGCCCAAAGGATGCCCTGCAGTGTTAGCTGCCACAGCGTCCCTTGCAGATGCTCTTTTCCACTGCCTTTAGTTCAGAGCTCAGGACGTGACAAGGCTGCAGACTGTAGCAGCACATCCACAAGGTCCTTCAGGCATGAAAGATGCTTCTAAATTCCCCAGGCATCAAATACTCATCTCCAGTAACATTGGCCTCTGCCAGCACAGGGCAGTAACGATGCTGATGATGCATCAGCTTGGCTTACAGCCCTCCTTCATTAGGAGACAGACTTCTCACAACAGGCCAGGAGAAAAAACAAGAGCAGGAGAGCTGGAATCAGCCAGGCAGCTACAAAAAAAAACCCAGGGTCATAGAGAGCTTTGCTCCCCGGGGAGAGCAGGACTTGGCTCCTGGCGCTCCCCCTCCACAGCGCCCAGCCCAAGGAGCAGCTGAGCACTCTGTAAGCGACACCGGCCTAATTAATTAATGACTCCTCGGCCCTGCAAGCGCCAGGCTACATAGGAAGGCAGCGAAGAAAGGATGGGGCAGCAGGCGAGCGCCGCCGGCAAATGCTGAGCGCTGCCGATGTCGCTCCGTTATTCATAACCTTGGGCTACGGCGCGGAGCGAGACGGAGATAGGAAGGAAGGAAGGAAGATGGCGTGGGATCTGCACTCGCAGCATCCTCCCTCCTGGGTGAAGTGTTCCTCACTCTTCGTGTCGTGCTCCAGAGCTGCCCTGGGACAGCTAATCGAGGTAAGGAGCATCCCGTTCTGCAGATCTGGGGGGTCGAGGGTGTTGGGAATCCTGTTTTTAATTTTTCCATGCAGGGTACCCAGGGAGGACAGGCATGGCAGACAGCTGAGAATTTAAGGTGGCTCTAAGGAGTTAGAGGCTTCTTAGGCCAACACTTGTTGCTTTCTGACAGGCCTAGCATAAGGGGAAAGCCATCTCTAATGTGTCGATAGCTGCTGCTGGAGATGGCAGGCAGTTAAGGACTGCTTTAATCTTCCAGAGAGGGCTTAATGCCCAAAGAGGCCGAAGTCACAGAGTCTTCTTGCAGAGTAGTGCATGTCCAACACTTGTTGGACATCAGAGGCTCAGCAAAGAAGAGCAGGAACAGGCACATGCAGGTGGTCCTGGGCCAACACCTGGATGTGCCCTTCCAAATTAAGCATTCAGGCTGCATTTCAACTCCTCAGCTTTCCTTCATTTCCTCTTATCAAGGCAAAATTTTAACTTCAGAGGTGATGTTCCTCACTGAATTTCAGAACTCACCCCCACAAAACACCTACATATTCCTCTGTCTTGGCTCCCTCTGGCAAGCTCAGGCTGAACCTGGAGGAAGGAGTAGACTTAAACCTGCTATAGTGCTCCAGGTCTAAAGCTCTGTGTACAAGTACCATAGTTCCGAAGAGCAGCATAGTCTTACAGCAGAGCTTGCTTTGCCAGTTCCCTTAGGCTTAAGGATCAAACATACCACAAGCTTGAACATCCCAAAACTCCATTTCTACCTTAGCTGCACGCTGCTCCTCATGTCACCATGGGTCAAAAATTCACAGTTATCCCTCCATCTGCTTCTAAAAGAGGTCCTAACAGGCCAACTCCAAAACACAGAGACATCTATAACGTGCTAGATTAATCCACCCAAACAGACCTCTAATTTATACATAAACTGCAGGACAAGGGGAGACTGGCTAAAGAAACCAGGGCCAAAAGAGGTTCCCTGAGCAAGACGAGGGCTACAAACCACCTGCCTGCAGCACAGGGTCAGCCACAGCAATACACTGCAGGGGAATTAAATCAGATTATAGCATTCATAGCATCCACATTAACCACAGAACCAGCAATGACCTGACAGAGGCTCTCATCAGGCCAGCTCTGCTCCCTGCAGCTTTTGATCTGCAGGTTTTAGCAGCTCACCACCAACACAAGAGGCAAGAACATACGCCCATCCCATGAACCAAATTCTACCATTAACCCACTGCTACTTAAATCAATATTCAAATAGGTCTACCAAGACATCCCATCTAACCTATGCAGAACCACATTCTCCCGGGTATAACCTCAACCAGCAAAGTCTACGAGCTCCTCTACAAATTCGGAGTGCTGCAGGGATTTTTTCCAAGCCATTCATCCTACAAGAGCACTCAAGGTTACAAGCCAGGCAGAACTTTATCTTACAGAGCACATTTGACAAGACACGCTCCACTGCAGCCAGGATGGTTTGCAGACGCAGTGTCAGCCCCAACAGGAAGACTTTTACTTTCTTGCTGTTTCTAAAACATTGAGACAGACACCTGAATAAGCAGCTTGACATTTTCAATTTGAAGATAGATGTTCCCTGTCATTATGTTTCACAGACACACAATTTGCAGGTTTTGTTTTCATGGCAAAGCAGAATAAAGTGTCAGAAGTAGGAAAATCATTTGAGAACAAGTGTAGTTTTCTGGTTGGCTTTACTTGCACCAAACTGCTTTGAAAACTCTGTCTACTACTACTAACGCTTAGGAAGGAGCAAATCTCATCTGAAAAGGCATGCTGCACAGCAGGTTAGCTAGCAGGTACCCCAAAATTAAATTAGATGAACAGACAGTTTCTGCATTACTGAAGCAGATGAATTCCAGTCTGTTACGAAGCTCTGCAAGGACTTTTTGCTTTAAATAATCACAATGTAGTTATCCTGAATAATTAAATTTATGCTAAGCCAGCCTATCAAAACAAACACAGAGAAAGCTGAATGCACCGTACATCAGAATATCTCAGTGAGCAACAAGATGCTCTTTTCTAATAGTGTTCAAAGCTTTCCAGCTGTGGAGATTCCAGTGCATTTTCCATCTAGGAAGGAAGGGCAATAACAACCTCTGAATAGCGAGTCCAACTACACTGACAAAAAGCGTTTCTCTTTGATAAAGTCTTTAGATGAATATGTGGAGGGTCATGGTGAAGATTAATTGTCCAGCGATTTGCAAGCTACTCACTTACTGAGTAAATTGGGATTAATTCCAGGGGCCACCCTAGAATCACAGAATCATTAAGGCTGGAAAAGACCTAGGCACTTCTCCCTTCAGTGCAGTGCTCTGGTAAGATGCATTACAGACAGAATTCCAACATTTCACCTGTAGCTGGGGACTTTGCTGCAGGAGCCACATATCCACACTCAGTTTTAGCATGTGCAGGCTTGTGAAGATAAATGCCCTAGCAGCTCTGTTTAAGCCTCTCTCAGTGCATCTATACTCCATCTTAAAACACATGCATGATTATAAAGCACTTGGATATCACCAGATGATGCACCTAGAAGTGAGGAAAAATACTTTTTTTTCCCCCCAGCATTACATCAAGATTCCAGTACTGATGACAAGACCAAATAGCTTTGGCTTTTCTGTTTCTTGCACCACATGATGCATGCAACTCCCATAAGATTATATCCTTTTAATGCAATGCACATACATTGTCCCATCCCCACCATTCCATACCATCCCTCCAAGATTCCCAACTAGGACAAGCTCTGCATTTCAAAAACAAGGCAGCTTACATGGGGTAGGAAGGACAAGGCAACAGAACGGTTCAGGCTGCTACTGCTTTTACCCATCACACCTTTGATGTGCACCGAGGACACTCTGGAAACAGAATTAGAACAAGTTAGGTAGGAAAGAACATCAACATTTCCTGTGCCTATGGATTAGAAGTTTCTTCTCATAGAAGCTCTGTGATAACCTGAGACACTTTATTCATACCAAGACCTGATAAACCAGTTAGAATGGACCACATTTTCCCAGTCATCCCTATGCCCTCATTGGTACAATTATCTTCTCACTCCTATCCCAATGCTTTTCTTAATCTTCATTTCTTTTTACCTGAATTTTCTCCTCTTTTATCTCCTCGGAGACATTCAAGGCTATAAATTAACATGAAACAAGTATAAAGAACATTTAAAGAGACTGAAAGCTAGCCCTCAGCATTCTCTATCATTTTGTATCAGGATACCACCTCCTTTGGGTAGAGCTCAGGACCTGCAATGTTACCATCAGCTTTAACACCTTCATCATAGGGAAAGAGGTCAAGACCCACCTCCATCTGCTCTTAAAAGGCCTGGATTAAGTGGGAAGCTAGAGGGTGGGATGAGAAGATACATCAGGTGTTTGGGAGGTAGCATTAGGTATAATCAATTAGCCTTTATTGATCTGAATTCTCCTGTTGTCACTCCTTTATTAGCCTCTTTCTCTCTAGATTGGAGTTTGCAGCTTCTTAGTCAAGAGATAAAAATCTAATCTAGGAAACAAGACAAGAGAACCACTTCAGAAGCTTTATCAGACCAGGAAATGTTGCATTCTTCTCAATATCAAGACAATGAGAAAAATATAGAGGTTCTGGTCTCTTCTAATTCTAACTTAGACTCTGTGCAAAAGCTGCAGTGCAGGAAGCTGTTTTTGAGAATAGGGGAAGAAAACCCTAACCTTCTCTGCTTGTTTTGAAAAGCTTCATTAAATTGAAGGCCATTCATTTTTTTTTTTTAAAGGAGAGGTGATAATTAAATGCTCTCAGGTTTACTCTAAGTCCTTCCACCTTCACCTTGCCATAATGTCCTCCAGATCAAACATAGGCAGAGTTCAGTTTATATTATGCTTAGCTGAGTGTCATTTGGGTCAGCAGGCAGCATCCTCATTGGTATCCCCCAAGTGAATGTGACAGACATGATGTTAAATGCAGTAGTCTGAATATATTTAGGTGTAATTTCAAATGAAGGCAGGCAAAATTGATGGGATGTTCTTGTGGACTCCTAAGGTTGCTTTCCCTATGTGAAAGCATAGATTTAACTAAATAGCTGATAATAAAAAGAGCAAATTGGAAAATAGTATCAAGAGGAGACCATATTCGAGCAATATGTAATATCTGGAGAGGTAAGTATGAGTTTTAAAAAAAATGGCATCCTTAAGGAATGTGTAGATATTCTGATACAGGCTAGATTAAAAAAAAAAAGAGTGAGAAAATTATAAAGCCTTTTTTTATGACAATTCTTCATTGCAACCTAAGATGGACTCAGAGAGAGGGAGAGAGACTGCAGAGTGTACAGACTCACTGCGCTCAAAGAAACAAAAATATTGGGGGAAAAAATGGAAATGCTCTCTGAACATTCACTTTTTTTCAGAGTAAGCACATCTATATGTAAACATACTGCCTCCTTAAATAAGTAACTGTTCTAAATTATGATCAAATTCTGATCCGTCTCTTCCTTTAAGCACATCATTGTATTGTAGCCAGGTCTCTACCTATGATCTCAAATATCCATTACTAGCACTGCTGCATTTTGGACCTGGTAGCTGGAGCTTGCCAGGGATTTCCTACCACCAGAGGGGATTTTGTTGGCATCACAAGATGCTTTTCCGTGCAGGGAGGTGCTTGTCAGACTGGTCCTCTCCTTCCTGCTGCTTGGGAGCATGTCTGCCCATTTAAAACTCAGCCTGCCAGAACCATCTGTGGCTTTTAGATATGTGCAATCCAATGAAATTAGGAATAAATATGATTAAGATTCTTTTTTATTTTTTTCTCCTCAAAGCTCAGTCATTCTGCAGCTACACCAGCCAAGACTAATTAGAAGAGGCATTTTAAAGAGGCCTCGAGAAGTGGTGCCTTTTACAATTTTGATTCAGCTGTTGCTTAATGAAGCGACTAAAGCTTCTGTGTCCAGCAGCTATCTCCTCTTCCACTGGGGCTGGTACTTCTTCACACACACACAAAATATCACAGTTTGTCTGATGGGAATGAATTGGAAATAAAGAGCACACAATTATTTTGTTGTTAAAAAAAAAAAAAATAGTGTCAAGCTGTTCTGACCTAAAAATGCAACTTGCTTGGAAGCAATTTAGTGTTTTAGGGTTTGTTTAATGTTTTCCTCGTCAGTTGAGCACTCATGTCCAGTGCCAGTTTAGGTTCATCCTCCTCCTTGCCCTTGATGAGCACTTGGATGAAGAGTAAAGGAAACACCTGTAGGCAATGCAGAGATCACTCACTGGGTGCCTGAGATGGCACAAAATCCCCTCTCTCTTCCCTACTCATAGGAGCGAAGCAAAAAACTGAGTGTGAAGGGAAGGATTTACTTTAAGCTGGGCATCTAAAATTTAAACTCCTCCATCTGGGAGAGTTTCCACAGGTTCCATGTGTGATAGTGATTAGATGTAAACATTTATTCATCAATCTAGATCTAAGTCACTTGCCTTAAATTGGGCTGAATGCTCATCTAGAGGCATGCTGTAACTTTGCCTTTGCAAAACCTTACAGTAACTAGCTCACACTTCATGAGCATGTTTTTAAAGAAGCTAAGAGGAAATGCATCTGCCTAACTTAAGGAAGCAACATAGCCTGCAGGTGAAAACACTTAAATATACATGTCTGCAGTGAGCGCTGGTAAGTGACCTAGGTGACTTGTGTCCTGTCTCCATTGACTTTAATGGAGTCCATAATTACTACAGTCAATTACTACAGTTGGGAGCTACTAGACCACCCTGCAAAATAGTGACATCTGTGGTCCATTTTTGGTATTGATTGTTTGTATTGTCCACAAATAAGGTTCAGTTGTCTAAACTGAGAAGTCTTAACCTTATTTTAGGCACTGCATTGTATTCTGCTCGTTTTCCAGCTGCTGCTCCTGAGAGCACAGATTTACCATACGTGATGTGTGAAGTGTTTACCAAGGCCTATATCAATGTCTCCATTAAGTTTAGGCTACCAAATTGAGCTGGAGGTCTTTTTGATATAACATGGTTATACTTTCTTTCAGCCCAGAGAACACTGTAATCTCTCATTTATTCCTTTCTGTCTTTTTTCTCCTCCTCTCCTGAAGGTCCAGCTTTTCCATCTTTCTGTAGATAATGCCTAGCCACTTTTTGGTAACAATATGGTTGAAGATAGTCTTGGGGATATTTACATAATATTTGCTGATACTCTCCCATTTGTTTTTTTTTTTTCCAGAAACTTCTCCCCGTTGAACTATTATTTTTGTGTGTTGCTGGTGCTGCTTCTTGTCTGCATTTTCTCCATACCCTACACCCTTTTCTATACAAAGATGGCTGCCTTTAAACCTGACATCTTTTGCAGTCTTCTTTATGGCCTCCAGTCTTCTGGATTCTTCTCTAATGCAGCTGCTTTCAGCCTATAAAGCAACAATGTCAGTATTTTGGCTTGGCAATTTTTTGGCTTAACGCTAAATATGATCTCTTTATCCATCTATCCATCTTCAGTTTAGACCACATTCATGACCTAAGGCTCCTCACCTTTCAAATTCATCTGTGATTGAGCTGTGAGTACTAGCTTCGTTTATTTATAAGCATGTTAGAATTGCCTTATCCCACAGTTCCATCTCTGCTGGGCTTTACCCTTTTACATCTTTTTCCTTTGTCCTTGATCCAATCACTCTGTTATCTTGGCATTTATTACCAAGCACAAAGCTGCGACTCCAAATCCCGACATTTATCCCCATGCACGTATCAAAATCAAAAATCTTGGCATTTATTGCCAAGCACAAATCAACAGCGATGATTTCCTAAAGCAACCAGGAGTTGGTTTCGTTAAGATGTTCGTACAGATCATCTGCAAAAGCTAAGGAGATTAAGGGAGGGACATTCAGTGCTGCATTTTTCACATCATTTAGGACCTCAGACACCTCGTTCAGTCAGCATGGATAGTAATGCAGACTTAGCCCTCTGCTACTTAGTCTCAGTACATGCACATAGACATCACCACAGCTCAGCTTGTGTGGTGATTTACTGAGCTGCAGTAGCCTGACCACGGTGATGTGATAATTTCATGCTTAAACTCTAGTGCTCCCAATGCCCATTTAACAGCAAATGATGAAAAGTTACAGCCATTAAAGTAAAATACCTACGTGAGTGCTCAGAACTCTGTAGCAGTCTCCTTTAGAGATAAGTATTGCAGATTCCTACCTCTTTGACATCCTAGACTCATCTACAAGGCCACAGCACTTGAAGTAGTCTTTCTCCTTCATTCAGCTGGGTTTTTTTGAGCATGAGGTGCCCCAGGTCCACCTGGGGCCGTTAGCATGTTTTAATGCCCTATCAAACAAGGGCAGCTGGAACAAATGGAAATTAAGCTGCACCAAGTGGTACTGTGTACCTAAAAGAGTTCAGAAGAGACAAGCTCCAACAGCAATCCAATCCACCACAAATTGGGCATAATTGGGATCCCAGTGGGAAACAAAGCACTCCAGACTCAGTCGGAAGCATCCTTCATTAGGAAGGGACTAAAATATGGTTTATATTGCACAAATAGGCATGTAATTGGAGAAGAGTTCCAGCTTCAGTTCACTTTCCCTGGTATCCATTACAGCTGTGTTGTAACTGCACTTTCATGGGCTGAGAAGGAAAGGGCACTGCAGGGAATCAGATGTGCATGCTTAGGAGTGTTTTTAAAAAGTGAACCATTTTTAGCTTCATCAAAAGGCAATTCAATCAATTCAAGTCTGGCTTTGGGCTCAAATATGAACCAGTGAACGTGTTTTGCTAACAACTGTTTTAAGGAGTCATTAGCATGTTTTAATGCTATGATTTCCTCCAACACAACACATCACAAGCTTATTGACAATGGAGGCTCGCTAACGTCTGATCTTCTAAGCTATTGTCTAAGAGAACAATTGTTTCTTGTTGGTGTGTGCCCCCACCATGTCTCTGCTGCTCTAGCACCACAGCATTGGTCTAGACAACCTGTCTGACTTTACAAGTTGTATCATGGACACACACTCAGCTTAACTTTCCCCAGTGGTTTGGTTTGTGAGCATTAGAGCAAATAGTTTTAAGTATGACTCTGCAAGAAATTTGTAATTTGCCTCCTGGATTTTACAGCAAAATTTTTCTCCTACTATGCACCAACCCAAGATACCTCTCAGGTAGGGGCCCCCCAGTCCCTTCAATGTCTGAAAACTTTATTAGCTGAAATATTTATCCTCTCAACGTGGCCATGAAGTGTGGCTGTCTTCCTAGTACCTCACTTCCCAACACTTCACTATCATAAGGGATCAGGGCCCTGTTCAGTTTCCACCTAAATGGTCACTTTGGAGAACTTTCTTCAATAGAAAGTATGCACCTCTAAAGCTATTTATCTTAAGACTCTCTCTGTTGAAGATGATGATAAATGATGATGGATGTTGAAGATCTATTCAATACAGTAGTGACCTGAGGATGCAATTCCCTTCATCTCAGTGATCTAATATAGGTCAGATGGACTGCACCATAAATGTAGATACTTCCTTTTAATGACTTGTTCACTTGACAAGTGAACTTGGGGTGACAAGCTCAGAGAGATAAGTCACTGCTACAGATGTTAAGAGCCTAAAGAGAGCAAGGTTGGAGACTTTGAGACATTTTGGGTCATTTTTATTAGATTCTACCTTACATATCAAATGTCAGATGTTTCTCTAAATGGATGACATTTGAGTTCCATGATTAGATGCAGACAGAGCAAAAACCTCCATGATGTAAAGAATGGTCACAGTCATCTACATCATCGATGAGTCTCTTTTCTTTTAAAGCATCCTGCAAGGTGGCTGCATCATCCGTAAGGCAGCTAGGTGGCAATCTAGGACTGAAAAAATCCTAGTGACTGAAGAGACAGAGCAGAGCTTTTCCTCTATACTAGCCAGATCATCAGAAAAACACATAAAACTTTATCTTGTGGATCTGGTATTGTCACTTATCATGGTTATTCTGTTTTTCCACACATTTTCTCACTGGTCTCTTGTGAACACTTTCCATGTTGCATCAAATACACTTCTCCCTAGCTGAATCCTTCCTCCCCTCCTCATTTATTTATTTATTTTTTTTTTTATTTTTATTTTTTTTTGTGTCAGCATGCACCAAACAGGACATTTTCACATCTCTTCTGACCTTAGGTGCCATACAAGCCAGAAAATGTAATTCAAAGACCCCTCCCACTCTCGCTGGCTTGAATAACTTAACTCTTTAAAACATGCCATTCAGAAGGACAACTACGCTTGATGTGACATCTAGAAGAGAACTTAAGAGTACATTTATTTTGTCAAACTTGTCGTTAGTGACCCATAATATAGAAGTAAGTCAAATTAAAAAAAGGAAAAAAGTTACTGTTTACAAATGGACAGAAGTCTGGAGAACACATAGTTCTTTTATAATATTTCATATTAATTATTCATTTTAAGGGTTTTTTGTTTGTTTTAAAATGAAGAACACAAAAGTTAGATGCCTCCAGAAGCAAATTTGGAATGAAAGAAAATGTACACTTTCAGCTGGGAGCAGGGGAGGACCACTTAATTGCAATAACAAAAGTATTTTAAAATAAATAAACAAACAGTTGGGGTCATAGTCCTTACTTAAATTTCTTGCCAGATCCCAATTTGAATGTGCTGAAATTACAAAAGGATCCTGTGGGCTATCTCAAAACCTTATCAGTTCGCCATAGGGCAGGCTGGTAGTTTATTACTGCAAAAGGAACGAGCATCTTCCTCTTGGACCACAGCACAGCTTGGCTTTCAGCTCGTACAGGTTATCTAACTACTTCTTTGCAAAGAGCTGAAGAGGAAAGCAGGTTGCCCGAACGCTGCACGTCTAAAAGCATGTCTGTTTGTTTCTCAGTGGTTATTTATACACAAAAGAAGTGCTGGAGTCCCTGGGTCTAAGCTTTAATCTTGTCTGCTCAGCATTGTCTGTGTTGTTTAGCCTCCCTACAATACATACTCCTTCCTGAATCACATGAATCTCTCATAAGCTGAAGATGTAGGACTCAAAGCCTACAAGACTCAACAGAACTGGAGTGTCTAGTCCAATCATCACCATGAAGACCATTCCTCAACTTAAAAGTGAGACACACTATCTCTTCCTGTATCAACCCCACACAGAGTTTTCCTTCAAAGCAGAAGTGGAGAAGCAGTAATATTCTCCCATTACAGATGGGGAAGCTAAGACACCAGATGCTCAGCAGAAAGAATAATCTCCTGGTGACCAGGCCACCACTGTGAAGTCAGTTGCCTGGTGCCACTTGAAATTTCCTCCAGCACGACATTCATACAGTGTCCGCTATGTATGGCAGGGCCATTGCACTGGCAGCTGGAGGATACCCCACAGCACCTCAAATGACACTAGATACCTTTTAGGATATTACTCACATCTTTAATGCCACATCTTTAATGTCAAGGGGCTTTGAAACAGCACTACAGAAATGCTTGCTACTCCAGCTGCAAAGTCTTCCTGGCCTCCTGTGAAGCATTTCCTTGGTAGGAAAGGGAAGTTTGGGCATTATCTGTTGCATCTTCAGAGTACAGACACTCAGAGCTTGGACAGGAGCCCACGGTGAGGTACACACCTGCAGGAGCTCCAGGGCAGGACAACTAGAGGTTTGCATCCTTCCTTATCACAGGCCCAGATAAGATAGAGGAAGGCCTGCCTGCAGGGCTGATGACATGGACTTGGACAGGGCTGTGCCTGCTAGGAAAAGTTCCCTACTGTAACTTCTACAGCAGTGGCAGCAGGTTTGGTCTGGGACAGACAAACCACCCAATTCCTTCCTATGCTGCTGAGATGCAGGCATTAGGGTAGCTGTATTCTGCTGGAGTTGCCATGAGGATGAAGGCGGCAAGCAGAGGAAAAACTGAGGGTGTTCCATGTCCTAGCCCTCACCTCCCCTGAAATCTGGACATACACTTATGGTCAAGACAGGAATCTACAGCAAGAAGTGAACCAGACCCAATAGTTTTCAACACCAAAACCAAGATCAAGGCCAGGGAAGTAGATTTTCCTCTTCTGCCAGCAGCTCTTCTGCCAGCCTTATGAGAAGGAGAAAGAATGGATCAAGTTGGGAGTCAGCATCAATTGTTATCCCACACACAATTCCTCCTGTCCCATTTGATCTAGTGGTTCTTCTAAAGTTTCTCCAGGGCTTAGCAGTCATGCAGCAAAATTACTTCCAGGGTGTCAGAAATATCCTGCTCCTTCCCAGAGGTCTGGCTGCCAGGACTTTGAGATAGCTTGGAGAGAGCAGCAAAGACTGATCCCCATCCCATAAGAGCTGCTCCAAGCAGCGAAGGGTCCTGCTGGTCTTACCCACAGATCGGACTCATCGCAATGGACTTGCCCAGTCATTTAGGCTCTCTGTTAGGTCTGTCTGTAATCACTCCACTCTACCTCCCTCCTCACACCAAAGCCAAGCAGAGTCTTAAACAAAACACAACTGTTCTAGATACATGTCTGCAAAATATGAAGCATGCACACAAAATATGGAAGTCTTCAGGTGTCCGAGTCTTTAAAATAATCCGGGATTTTTAAGAAATAAAGGCAAAATGAATTGCTTTATAATCATGAAAATTGGCAATAATTCAGACATACTTTAAATAAGCAAAAAGTGTAAATACAAGCTATTTGTTGAACACCCTGTTCTCCGAAGACTGCAAAATGTTGGAGGCCTGTAGAGCTGGGGTTTCCATACTGTGCCATATTACCCTTCCAACTTTTAAACCACATTTTTTTGTCCTTTTTTCCTAGGCCACCACAGAACCCCCCAAAAAGAAGCCGGACCCTGTGACTTCAGAGACGGTGGTGATCTGGGGCCTGCGTCTCTGGCAGGTGATTGGAATCTTTGCCATCTTTGTCCTGGCAGTCAGTAAGTTGCAATTCTCTGCCTTGCACCAACTCAGCATCTCCCCAAGTAGGACCTCTTCCAAGGAGAATCACGGAACACATGGCCACAGATGGGGCAGTTTGGTCTTTGGAGTCATAGGGCCAAATGAGGGTTAGCCATAGGTAGGATGGATCTTTGAAGGATCTGGAGGTTGGCCACCACAACTTCAACTGGTAATTCATGGATCACTGGGTCCCAGCTGGTGGCATCTCATAGATTGTTGGGTCTGCAACTTGGACCAGCTCTGGCATTTAGACACTTCACCTCTGTTCTAGGCATTTCATGACTTAAATTTCTACTTTTAGACCCAGGCATTAGGAAGCCACTGTTTCAGACCTGGTGACAACAGTGGGATGGGATCAGACACTCCCCCAGCAGACTCGAGGATTCGCCTGGGTATGACTGATTCCTCACCACAAAGTCTTCATCCAGCTTCACCCCCTTGTAGATCATTCTGGGAACAATATTTAAGCCAGCTTCATTACCCAATGAACCTTTCATTAGCACTGTGAATGTCACATGGGATACTGTCAAAACTTTATGCAAAGGGGACGATGAGATTTCCTGGCTTTTTTTTTTTTTTTTTTTTTGAACCAGATATACTGATATATTTGAGCCAGAAACTAGACCCACTTGATATAAGCCATTCTCAACAAGCTCATTCCCAGTTCCTGTCTTCTTGCTGCTCTGTAGGCATCTGCAAAGTGTTTCACAAACAGACTGGTTCCAGCATCTTTCCAGGAAATGAAGTTACACTGACTTGCCAGTAACTGTCTTGTCTGTTCTCTTTTCCTTGTTTGGGGACAGATGAGCACATGGCCAGAGCCTGTCTGCAGACCCTGAAGGCAATTACTATCAGCTCAGAGAATGCCACAAATCCTTACACATTTCAGGAGGGCTTTCATGCTACTTTATGGCTTTAGATACATCTGGATCTCCAGGATATTTTTAATCTTTTTTTTTTTCCCCTTCCTCTTCCCTCCATCCAACCCCTGCCCCCTTGAGATAAGGGGAATTGCTTGTTAAACTTAATTTCATACATGGAAACACAAACCATTTCAAGATGACTAAAGAAAGGAAGGCCTTGCGTGGCTTAGCTTTCTGCATCACTTTTCTGCTCTTCTTCATCATTAAGTCATCAGTCTCTTTCATTTCGCTTTGGTCAGTTTGGTTAACTGTAATTCCACTCATACCTAAGTGCTCCCAGCTTTTATTGCTCTGCTCCAACTTTTTTCCTCCTCCTTTGTTAGGCATCTTTATTCTGATTTTCCCATGAGTCCTCCTTAATTTCTCTGCTTGGGAAAGATTCTTGAGGAGGCTCTCTCATTCTGGTCCTCACATTCCCTTTCACAAGGGCAAAGTAGTATCATCCCATTAAAGTAAATAAGACTAAAGTCATCCAGGACTGTTCCCTGGAAGCCAGCAAGCATGAAATAGCCAGGTCCACAGTCTCTAAATTCTCTTACTCTCCAAAACAGAGTGGTTTCATGCAGAACACTGGTTGGGAATGATCCCAGGGTCTAACAATACCAACCTGCAGGCAGCCTTCTATTGTAAGAGTATGAGTTTGCTGGACATCCCACAACATCTTAGTGTCAAATGCTGATTTCTAAGGTTCCTTGCCACTTTTTAAGTTTCCTGGTAAAACTGCAGCTGTTGCAGCATCTAGATGTAGCCCTAGTTTACTCAAAGAGCTTATCAGGCTGCTTTATCTGCTGATATGGTTGAAAAAGAGTCATTTGTTTTTATACCGGAGTCTGCACTTTGGTTTCTGTAGGTAATTGCTCTGAGTCCTTCCTCAATCTCTTTTTCTGTTATCTTCATTTAAACCAGAAACATTCACCTTTTCCAAGTCAGAATAAACTCTTTTCCTTAGTTTTCTTTTCTTCTCATTGTGTTTTCTGGGCAGATAACACACCCTGCACCAAATAAACCTCCAGGATAAGCACTCTGAAGGGTTTTGAACTGTTCTCAGCCAGTGAAGCATATGTTAATTCATCACATGGCACAATACCCTTTGCAAACAATTGCTGAGAAACTCTGCAAAGCAAAATAAACACAGCCAAATATTTAACCCTATAGACTCCATAGCATACAGACAGCAGGGATCAGAATGAAGGCTGGCAAATTTAGAATACAAGTAGACTCGTGAATTTCCCATGCTGGCAAACTAACACATCAGATTTCATGCTGAGAAGTGTTATTTGAAGGAAATAAGCTAGGTTTTCTTTAATTATCTTTAAAAATATCTCAATAGCAAAAAGCAAACACCAATGACAGTTTTTCATTCTCGTGATAGCCCAGAAATGAAACTTACCATAGAAAGCAGCATAAAAAGAAAGTTACCACCTAGGTACTTCAAATAATGAAAGGTACTTAAAATGATTAAAGTGGTAAATGGTGAGAAGCTATATTATTTTGAGGATCTGAATTTAGCCAGACTAACCAAATGGAATATGTGCCATTCGACTGTAAAGTACCATCGGCTTTAGGATTCAAGAGCCCACTCAGAAACACAGGTGGTTTAGGTTATATATTACCAGGGGTGTTATTTTCTAGGAAATGGCACATTTTCAGCTTGCTGAGTCTCAATTTTCAGGGTGATAGATTCAGTATGAGTGATTTATAGTGATTCAGTATGTCACAACAGGAAAAAAAAAATGTATATATTATACAAGGATACAACCCTTTGCTCCAAATTAACCACATCAGCAATCCAAGTCAAAATGTGATAGGTTCAAATTTAACAGGAAATATCTAACTGCATTTTAAGTCAGTTCTCACCCATTTCTTGCCTTTCGCTCCAGCAACATCTCCCTCCTTCTCTGCTCTGCGGTCCCCAAAGCACTGGTGGTTCCCCAGGTTTTCCCAGCCAAGTTTCACTTCTCCGCAGCAGACACAGGTTTCCTGTGAGCAAGGTCCTGGAAGCTGTCTTGATCTCAGCCTAGGTCACTGGACAACGCTTGTCTTTTCTAAGGTGACCACAGCTTTTGTGTGGTTCCTCTCTCTGGTTGCAGAATTACCATCACCCTCTCAGACAAAGCAGGAATCAGCGCAAAGAGCATCATCCTTCCCAGGGCCTATCATAGATCCCATTGATTTATAATCTCTCCTTGTTATCAGAGCTTTAGGGCCTTCAAGGTGTGTCTGCTTTGTCTTTTGAGTGAGGAATATGCTTTTGAGGCCAATGTCCCTGCCTCCTTCACCCTGCTTTGCATAGGGAGGTGGTGGGACACTCAAACTGGATTCCTTCTGCATAAAATGGGAATAAAAGATATGCTACAGAAAGATATGGACCCACTACGCACTGGCTGGCATGAAATGATTGCTAAGAGCACCCACACCTGCAGGACAGGGCTAGAACGAATCAAATGAAGTGCATCAAGCAAGGATGGAAGTCTCTTGAGGCCTTCACCTCACAAACCTGCTCCTGCTCTGCAACAGGACTTGTACATGTGGAGGTGGTTTAGGAGGAGCTTCAAACTACTCCCAGGAACTTCCACAAGATGGCATCATTGCATAAAAAATGGTGACCAAAAATGGTCACATCCCAAACCCTATTACATTTCCATATTTAATGAAGAGGAGATAATGCAACACATAAAGACTTACGTTGTCAATACATGTCACTGAACTGCATGACATGCCTCTGTGGAGCTCTTCTAATGCAGAACAAGTCTTTTTTGGCAGCTTACAAGCCATACATGGTGCTTTATAACTCTGAACAACTAGGCTCAGAAAAGATGAAATGTTTCCACACTTGCTAGTAGAAAGCTTTGCTGCTTCTCCTAACTTCTCCTTCTTACAGCCCCCTTCTGTCCCACCTCATCCTTCTCCATCCTTTTTCTCTCTCCATCTTTTTCATTCTCCATCTTTCCTTTTGCTGCTGCTCTGTCACAGGATAAAAGTCATGTCACAAATAAAACTTCAGCCCATTGGAGGAAATGTGGTTTCACAGAACACACAGAGAGCATTCAGGTTGCACTGGAGGTATAACTCTCATGGACATGCTGCTCAATCATTACGTGATTCTTATATATCAGCTAAAAAAAAATCAACTAAAAATATACCAACTAAAAAATTAGGAATGCTACATTTTCTGCTCTAGCCAAATAAGGCCACATTATCCTTCCTTTTCAAAGCAACCATACCTCTACATGGAAAACTTGGAAAGAAAGGAAGGAATAATAGCAAGTTTTTCAGGTACTAAACAGAGCAAGTCAAGTCTGCTCTTCTGACCACAAGACTTTCTACGAAGTTGTTTTGTCCTTGGGTAAAGGAAACTTTTCCTCTTAGACATTGATTTAATCAGGCAGAGCAAGGCAGGCCAAGTGCCATGGCAATGTCTTTAAATCCCTCAGCCCCACTGGATGCTAATTTGAGTCCTGGCTGATAAGACAAGAGACCCTTGGGATGCGGGAGCATCTAGCAGTGATGGCTATGGCATCTGGTTCTCCTCCTAGGAGAGGCTGCGATAAGACAGCAGCAGATACCCAAGAGGAGATTAGCTGTCAGGACAATTTAATTTGCTCAGGACTGCTATCTTCTTGCCACGCCTGGCTTTTATTTATTTTTTGATTATTTTTGCAGAACCTGGGAATGAGGAACTGTAGCTCTGATGGGATGGGACTGAGCCACTGTGTCTTGCATAACCTCTTTCATCTACAGAGCTCAAGGGTTTTGTGCACACACACATGTACACTCCCAAATACATCCTTTGAAAAGTACAGTGCTATAATGGACAAAGGGTCCTTTCCCAGAGCCAAACGGTTTCCTAGGAATTCAGTAATATTTACTAGGCACCAGCAAAGCTGTGGAACTAGATGCTGTTATTGCACTCATCTTGCTAAATCTGAAGTGTTAGAGGTTTTATTTACCTACTTGATGCTGGTGTTGAAGCGCGAATACCAAGCAGAAGATTTGTGTCATTAAATAACCATTACTTTTTGGTTAGCAGACCAGCCAGATGTTTCCACTAATTT